TTCGCCCCCCACTACGATGACATCGAGGCCTTCGTGCTGCAGCTGGAGGGGAAGAAGCACTGGCGCGTCTACAGCCCCCGGACGGATGCAGAGGTGCTGCCCCAGTTCTCCAGCGCAAATCTCACACAGGCTGAGCTCGGCGAGCCCATGCTGGAGACGGTGCTGGAGGCCGGGGACCTGCTGTACTTCCCCCGAGGCTTTATCCACCAGGGTGACTGTCTTCCTGACGCACACTCGCTCCACATCACGGTGTCCTCCTACCAGAGGAACTCCTGGGGGGACTTCCTGGAGAAGCTCCTCCCGGCTGCTCTGCAGATGGCCCTGGAGGAGGACGTGGAGTATCGGCAAGGCCTTCCCATGGACTACCTGGGGTACATGGGGGTCACCAACTCGGACACAGTCGATGCTCGCCGAACAGCCTTTATGGGGAAGGTGCAGAGCCTGATAAAGAAACTTGTTGACTATGCACCCATTGACGCTGCTGTGGATCAGAGAGCCAAGTCGTTTCTTCATGACTGTCTCCCCCCAGTGCTTACACAAAGTGAAAAGGCGCAGAGCATGTACGGCTTCCCGGCCCGGTGGCAAGATGGAGGCCCCTGTGATGTTGATATACTGATAACAAAAGACACGCAAGTACGTCTCCTCCGCCATGGCATCGTTAGATTGTGTAATGAAGAAGCAGGTGTGATGCTGTATTACACGACAGAAAACTCAAGAGTGTATCACAAGGAAGAACCCAAGTTCCTTGAGATAGATCCCGAGTACACAGACAGTATCGAATTTCTCCTGTCTTCCTATCCAAACCACGTCAGTGTGGATACCCTTCCATGCGAAACCTTGGAGGACAAGATTTCTCTAGCCACGCTCCTGTTTGAGAAGGGCATTCTGACCACAAAGAAGCCTCTGGTGCAAGTGTAACTCTTATTTTTTAACAAAATAAACATACATTTGTTTAGAAAGTGTTCTGTCTTGTTCTCGCCTTACACCTGCTAGGTGTGAATCAGCAGTCCAGATCACAGTATCTCATCTGGGGGCAGAAGGGCTTTGGTGTGGGTAGAGAAATCAAATGTTCTCATTAAAATGGGTATCTGCTCTAGGAGCGATTCTGCGTGGCTGAGTGGCTAGAGAAGGAAAGTGCTTAATTTTTTATTTTTTCCTTTCGCCAGCCATATTGCTACACCCTAGGTAACTTCAGGAAGCTAGGGAACTTTCTGGCAGTCTGTAAATCATCTGTGTGTTTACACAGTGTTTTAAAGCAGCCTGCCCTACTGTGGGAAGTACTCTCATTACTCCCAGGCAAATTTGGTGATGGTCACCATCCTGTGTGCCTGTGCTGTGCCACGCTGCACAGCCACAGTGTGGCCTTCAGGCCTGTGCTGTGCTGCACAGATGCCTTGGCCACAGGAAAAACTCGGCCAACTCTTCCTAAAAGCAGAGCCGGCAGGCAGCTCCCACTCGGTGCCAGTGATTATGCCACCTGCACGGCCTTGCCCTTATCAAACAGTGCAGCAAGATGTTCTCATGCGAATGTGAGCCGCTGCATTTGAAATGCTTCAGGCTCTGTCTCTTCTTTTTCAGTCTGATAATTGCAAGCTGTCTTAGTGATAGAATAACCTCTCCCACTTTTTTTTTCCTGCAGCAGCCCCTAGCAAGGAAATCACTGGTCCTTTCAAGGTAAATGGGGCACCCTCTAATACGGGGCTTTTCATGCTGGGTGCAAAAAGTTCCATACCAGGACCTAACAAGTTACATGAATACACGCTTGGCTGTGTGGCTAGTTCCCGTAAATACTGACAAGCCTCAGATACACTTTTCCACAATGCTGTTTCATCGTCCCAGTCAGCAGGTGAGGGGTATTCTGTCTTTAGAGCCTCCTGAAGCCATACCCACAAGGAGCGGGCTGCATTACCCTGTGCTCCTCCGAGCTGCTGGGTAATCAAGGTTTTGTGAGATGGCACCCAAGCACTCTAATTATTTAGGATTTAAGTATACACTATCATCTCCTCCAAAGTCCTGTACTTGCAACAGCCAGTGCGCCAGCCTTTCCCCTGTCTTTTGCCCATATGCTTTTGCCAAATCTTGAAACTCGGGCTGTATAAAATCACACCATGAGAGCGTGTTGAGGTGTCCCTGGGGGCCCCTTTGCTTTGTGAATCACTGGTGGCTGGACAGAAATGCTGTTGCCATGCTCATCCTCTGACCCTTCTGTCTACTCATCCTCACCAGAATGTCCTTGTTCCACCATTCATCCCCCTGGCAAACAGCTCGTGCCCAAGTGGTGCCCTTCCCGGGTGCTCTGCATGCCCCTCTTGCACCACGGGCACCTGCACCATGGCTGCCTGTGCCACAGGCACTTGCAGCGCAGGTGGCTGCACCACAGACGCTTGCACCACGGGCAGCTGGATGGCAGGCGCCTGCACCGCACCTCGCTGCTTGGGGGCTGCTGTGCGGAGTTGCACCAGTAGCTCATGCAGGTCTTTCTGCCTTGGCTGTACGCACCCCCATGTCCGTCTCAAGCATGTTAATAACAACCAAAGGCGGCACAAATGCTCCTTAGCTTTTGCTTTCCATGGCACCTGTTTTCTAAGACGGCATAATACTTCTGCTGGAGTGGGCCATTCTGATAATTCCTCCTCAGTTTCTAAATCCACTGGGGAAACCACCTAGGCTAAACACCTTGCAAATACCCCTTACGGATTTGTGTGGAGCCAGCCAGGCAGAGTTTCCCTTTTCTTTATTCTTTCTCCAGAAAGGCATTTCTCACTGACACCTGCCAACTGCGCCAAATGTTTTGCACTAGGAGGTGCTGGTCCATTATGATCCCAGTAAGAAAGACACTTGCATTCTGTAAGGTATCATTAAAAATGCTATTTATTAGAGCTAACACTCCAAGAAGAAAAGGAAACAGCTCCATTTATCATGTCTACAGTCAAACAGAAACGATGTTCGCATGAGAACGTGTTGCTGCACTGTTCGATAAAGGCAAGGCCATGCAGGTGGCATAATCGCAGGTACTGGGTGGGAGCTGCCTGCGGGCTCCTCTCTAGGGAAGAGCTGGCTGAGTTCTTCCTGCGGCCAGGGAATCTTTGAAGCACAGCACAGGCCTGAAGGCCACGCTGTACGTGCAGCACGGCACAGCACAGGCCTGGGCGTGCTCGGGTTAACTCAGTTGTGGGTCACTAACTGCTCGATGTACAATGGTGTTCCCTTCAGGATCACTACACTGACTTCCACTGAGAAAAATGGTGAGATGCCTAAATGTGCTGGAAGATTTCAGACCTAGTGACAAACTGATCTCTCAGTTTCAGAATAAGAAAGCAATTTATCTGCTTCATGCTTTGCTCCCTATATAAAAATAGGAATGCATTTTCCATGCATGTGTGAATTCATAATAATAATAATAATAATAATGGAATATGGAATGTATAATAATGCTACAAATACACTTGTAATAGCAATACTTTATCTTTCTTTAATGTCCTCCAGCACTGAAGATCTCCATATTTCTTAAGTATCAATACTTTTCAATTTTCAACCTGAGGCAAGCTAAAAACCTATAATTACCCTTATTTTACAGACAATGGCTAGCAAGGAAAACTCTATGTAGCTCAGCCAAAAGCACACAGCATCTTTTGCAAAATTTAGAAAAGAAAGCCATTTGCATTAAGTTAACAACACAGACATTGCTTTCATGGTCTCTCTCTTTCTAGTATGTTTGCAACCAAGTATGAAGAGATGGGTCGAAATTAAGTTTACCCAATTCCCTTGATTTCTGAGGTGTCTTAAATTAGACTGTTTATTTGGAGCATATATATTCTATGGCTTTTTATAATATTGGATTCAAAGGTACTCTTCTTGGGTACTGATGATTTTATAGTGCAATGGTGCTGATAAAGAGAAAACAGGCAATTGCTTGATTTCATGTTTCATAGCAGTTAGAATTTCCCATACCCACACACAGATCAGCAGCCTCCAAGCAGGGGCTTCTCCCATCGAACTCCTGAGGGCTGGTGTCCAGCTCATGTTGCCCCACCACACCAGATGCACAAGCTACGATAGCCTTGAGCCTACTGATAACGTGTATGCTTGTGAGAGCCCTCGTTAAACCTTCTGATGTCACACTTTATCACTGGGGATCTGGTGTTTGAGAGGAAAACATGTTCGGACAACTGGCATTATGATCTTCTCTATATGTCTTACATATGGAAGATCTCCCTGGGATATATTCACCAGGAAAACAGAGGAGACTTTCATCATTCCCACAGCTGCCCTTTGTTTTCTGTTTCCCTGCTCTAGAGATGGCGTCTCCGTGCAACCTAAAGCAGTTCAGTCAGAAACGGGCTTCCAAAATGACCTCATGGTGATGAAGAGGTTCGCAGAGGGTGAGTGGAACTGTGAAGCTGTCGTGCCCACGGCAGGAAATGCACCTTGCAAATTCACCTGGAATTCCAGCTGAAAACTTATCATCCAAAGGCCAGCTAAAACTATTCGCAGGGTTTACTGTCAATATTCCTCACTGGGAGGAAACAGGAAAAGTGTAAGTATACACTTGTATTACAATCTATCTCTGGGTGAGACAGCTCTGCTCCTCTAGGTGATCACACATTATCTGCCACAGGGCACTTCCTCTGTGCAGTTTTCCTCTCATCCACACCTTGGACCTCACACCTCATGATAACTTCACACAACAATCTGATCAATGGCCTGAGGATGGCTGCCAGAAGGGCATGATGGCTGATACATCAGGATCGGTCCTTGACCAGTCAGTCAGAAACCTGGGTATACCCTTAATACTCCTAGTGCTAAGTACTAGTACTTAGTAAGTACTCGTAGACACTATCTCCCAGTAAGTGTCTGGATTCACCCTATTCACCACATGTAGGTGATCTCCAGTATATTTTTTTAAACACGCAAACTGTTGTTGCCAATTCCCCTCATGTATGAATTCAGGAAAAGAGGCAACCTTTTCCAAAGGACGTCTGCACCTTCGCCGAGTTTGGGAGAGAAACCCAGGTATGGAGCTGCAGCTGCTCCTTCCTCTGGGTCCAGTCCTGCAAGTGTAATAACCAGCAGGCCTGAAGGCAGATTGCTCCCAAGAACCTGCCCTGTGTTTGCACTTGCCATTTGGAAACTGCTGCCGTGATGGCAGCTGGCCTGACAGGGTGGGCAAGTACAGCCTGTGCAGCCATGGCACACCGGGGCCTGGGCAAAGCTGCTGCCTTTGGAGATGCTCCCGCAGTGCCAGGGGACTGGCTGTGCCGAGCCCGCCCTGCTGCGGGCACTGCCAGGGCTGCAGCGAGGGCTCCAGGCAGCCTTGATGTCTCCCAGCACAGCAAGTGCCCCTCAGTTGCAATCTCCCTGCCTGTGTGTGGGAGGGTATGGGGACGGAGCAGCTGCCTCAAGGAGGACTCCCCAGTGTGGAGCACTAAGACTCACCAAGTAGCCAGAGCCTGTCTGCCCCATCAGGCAATGGGGTAGATATGAGGTGCTGTTGCCCCGGCTGCACCTGACACAAGCCCTTTGTCAACTCTGGTCTGATGGACCTGGGGAAGTGTCTCATCCTCCAGAGGCCACACCACGGCTAATGGAGGGGAATGCTCAGCATGCTGTAAGGCAAGGCAAGGCAAGGCTTGCCTGGGCTATATCCTGGGCATATATCTAGGAGATGCCTGCTACATGTGCCTGCTCCTCCACAAGCACTTGTGCCTGAAGTGCTGGAGTGGAGCAATGTGGAGGGACAGGGATGTGTATGGAGGTGGCTGAGAGGCTGTGGGTCCCTCTCTTTCCCCTTGAGGCCAGGTGAAGTCTAGATAACGGTCTGGATAGATGAATAACTCTTAGAAGCTGAGGTTAGGTCTGGTGAGTGCCAAGTTGGTCATGGCCCATCTGTATTTGCTATGCTGTGAGTGCACTGGGAACCATTTTCTCTGGGATGGTGTGGTGTAAACAGTAATGGAGTCTGACAACACGTTACAAAATAAAGTTTTACTGAGGCAGTAAGAAAGATGAGTAACAACATGCCCATACGGCAACTCACCCAATCACCAATAGCAAACACAGGATCGTAAGCAATGCCATGGTTCCAGTGGGCTGCCAGGGACATTTGGTGTCCAGGTCATCTGGCAGCAAGAGCCAGTCATGCAAATGCCATTTGAATGCGGGTGAGAGTCGCACCGCGCCGTGGCATCAGCAGTGGCGGTGTGATTTGAGAGAATCATTCCTTACACTAATAATGTGGGCAGCATCCTGCCTATGCTGTCGGTGTTGGACAGGGGGCAGGGTGTCAGGAGGCAGGGTGTCAGTTGGGACATGGGAGGTGGGGCATGCCTGGAGCTAATGCAGCAGAAACCTTGGTGGCTGCCATCACCCCTATGTACTCTGTGCAATCTGTCAGCGTACTTGAATGTCCCCACCAGTTACCTTCAGCTGTAGTCCAGCTAAGAAGCTGTGCTGGCATTTGCCTCGGGTGGTGTTGAGTTCAGCATTAGTTGACTGGCTGAGTCTTGAACATAGCCTTTGAAGTATTGGTGAGACCTCTCTTCCTGACAGGCAATAAAGGTACGAGTCCATTAGCACTTCCTCTTCATCACTGGGCAGGCAGATCATTTCTGCAAAGGCAAGAGTTTTGTTAATCAAACCAGAAAAATGTTTGCAATCCCAAAGAAAGTAAATGCTAGACATATTCTCCTCCCCTTTCCAGCATTCACCAGGAGCAAGGAGTCCATTTTGAACCAGCTGGCCATCTAAGATGGGGGATAAGGCAGCAGAAGGCTCATTCAAAGGATCAGGATGATGCTTGGCAAGAGAGCTAGGCTTTACTCTACCCCAACGGCAAGCACACCCAGGTCTGAAGGACCTCAGTTGACAGATGCTTTTTCATTTATTGAATTAAAGTTGCTCACACCTGTACCAGTATAACCCCAATAACATGGCTGCATATACCCACAGCTGTGAGTAGAATTGGGTTCACATTTTCTGTAATTTCCCTGATCTTTTTTGATCAGGCAGTGAGAAAAGGGATAGCATTTCAATTTATCTTAATTGAACAGATCATATGCAATATGTTCATTTATCTCCCTGGTGGCCTGTGAACTTTAAATAAATTTCTGTACTCTCCATACAACTGTGGTCTCCCCATGGGTGTACCATCTTCAGCCTGTACTTTAAAGCAACCTCCACCATATGCACCTTTGGGTGCAGAGATTTCACCACACGTACAGTGAACGTGTCGTCACAAATGGAAACATCTCTGATTGCTGAACTGCAGAAAGTGTACAATATGGGGTGTTATAAAAAGTAGTGGCGCTGGTGTCTCTGGTTAAGAGCTGTCAGGCTGCTGGGAGAGAGATCTCTCTGGAAGAGCTGTGTCTTCTGTGCCTTGGGTTCACCTCTCCTCTGGAAGGATGTGCTCTGGCCGGTAATTTCTGCTTCTGGCCCCAATATGGTCTGGTCATCCAAGAAGCTGTTCTGCAATCTTCTCCCAAAGGATGTACGCCTGCTGCTTTGTGTTTGGATTGCAAAATTTATATAAGAGATCAGAACTGATAAAAAAGAATTAGTAGCAAATGAAACCCCCAGGCCCTTCCCTACCCGGGATATTTTGTAATCCATGCTCCCAGCCAGCCCAGCCAAAGCCCACGGGCCTGCCCTTGTGTGGGTAAGGCGCTCTGTCTGGGTGTGGGCAAGAAGAGCAGGTGGCAGAGCAGGAGGGAGGGAGGGACGGGAGCCTTGGGGCAGCCCATGGCCACGCCAGCTGCCATCATCTGGTGAGAGGTGAAAGACTGCAAAGTCTCAGAAGATGCCAGGAGAGCGGCACCAGGCTCATGGAGCTGTCTCTCCCCTGAGATGCTCCCAGGCCACAGCCCCATGAGCCCACACCAGTGCAGGGCAGCACCAGCCCCTCTTGGGAGTGACGTGGGCTCCTGTCCCATATGAGCTTCTGCACAACGGCTTCCCCCAGGGGAATGTGGGACCCAAGCCCCAAACATGCTCCCTCACTGCGCCTCTGGAGCAGGGGGGGCCTGAAGGAGCTGGGGCAGAGGGGAGTGCAGAGGGGCTCTGTGACAGACCCTGCCATGCTGCCCCACCACTGTCCCAATGCACAGAGCTGGCCTCACGTGGAGCTGGCCGCAATTCCCCTAACTGGGGACAAGTGGGAGCTTGCCTCTCCTCCAGCACCGCACGGGCTCCATGATGGTGATGCCCTGCTGCGTATGGGATCATGTCCCCTGGGTGACCTGTCTGGGCTGTCCAGGGGAATCAGTCCATCCCAAAGTGCTTCCAGACTGTGGGGACAATTTCCTCCAGGTCTGCATGCAGCAAAGGGGCAACCTTTTCCAAAGGGAGCCTGCAGCTTGGCTGAGTTCAGGAGGGGGAGAGCCTGTGAGAGAAGCCCAAGTACAGGGAAGAATAAGGCTGCAGCTGCGCCTTCCTCTGGGTCCGTTCCTGCAAGGGTAATAACCAGCAGGCCCGAAGGCTGATTGCTCCCAAGAACCTGCCCTGTGTTTGCACTTGCCATTTGGAAACTGCCCCCATGGCAGCTGGCCTGACAGGGTGGGCAAGTACAGCCTGTGCAGCCATGGCACACCGAGGCCTGGGCAAAGCTGCTGCCTTTGGAGATGCTCCCGCAGTGCCAGGGGACTGGCTGTGCCGAGCCTGCCCTGCCGCTGGCACTGCCAGGGCTGCCTTGACATCTCCCAGCACATTATGTGCCACTACTGTATGACCTGTCCAGAATTGGTTTTCAAGCCTATAAATGAGAAAAAAGAGTTTACTACTTCTCTGCATGCTTAGTATCTTCAGCTCGTATTTTAAAACACCCCCTCAGAAATGCATATTTCAGAGTAGGGATTTCACCAGGTTTACCCTGAATGCCTATAAAGCTCACGGAGCTGCAGGAAGGGTATGATATGGGATGTTATAACTGGGATGCCAGCGTCTCTGGTTGAGAACTCTCAGGCTGCTGGGAACCAGCTTTTGTCACTGGATGGGATGTTTCTCTTCTGTGCCTTGGGTTCATCTCCCCTTCAGAAGTATGTGCTCTCGCTGGGGGCTTCTTTTTAACCAAGATGCCTTGGTCATCCTGCAAGCTATTCTGCTTGATTTATAGTCAGTACAATTTTCTTTCAGAAGAATGCTTTTTGCTTTGGAATTATGGGGAGAAAATGGGATCAGAATTCCTTGAAGTAATTAGCTGAGTTTTCGCTGGAAGTGGGGTAATTTTCTTTGGACCACGTGAGGTGAAATTGCTATATGAGGGGGGATGGATGCTGGACTACACAATTAATCCTAGATAAGAAAGCACGTGACACTTTCAGAGGGAGAGAAAATGTAGTCTTCATGGGGAAGGAAAATCTGCTGAGAGTCTGCCCAATGCCTCTGACTACCTGGTATTACAAAATAGGACCATGCTGAGGGTTCTCTCACATGCTTCCAAGCAGTGCAGAAACACAAACATAGCTACAGGGAGCACATCCACCATTTTTTTCCAAGAAGAGCTATGCACAGTGACAGGAGAGCTGTGAGAAAGCAGGGCTTTATTTACTCCTGTAATCAGCCCCTTGGGGCACTGGTACAGCATCTTTTCGAAGCATACATGAACCATTGGCTTCACAACAGCCACATGGGGCAGGGAGAGAGGGGAGGGGAGCCGGCAGTCCCACCCCTGCCAGGGCAGGAGGAGGAGGCAGCTCTCCACGACTGGCTGCCCAGGCACAGCAGCCAGGACATCCAGCTTAAATACAACCACGATGTAGCTGAGTGGATCACAGGAGCAGCTGCAGATTGCTCCCAGCTTTCTTTGCCGAACACCATTGTGGTCACAGCAGACAAGGTTTCTCTTGCCCAGCATTTCCACACCACTCATCCCCCATGGTCCCCTCTGTCCGCCTCTCGCCCGCCACCCGCAGCCTCTTCGATGAGCCGCTGGCCATCGCCGTGCAGGGCCTCGGCCCGCGGCAGCAGGTCACGCTGCGGACGTCCTT